CCTCGTCCCCCCCCACCCCCTCCATGTCCCACTCGCGGGGGTCTCCCCTTCCTCCCTCCCATCCCATCCCCCCTCGTGTCCCTCCCCGTGTCCCCAAATGTCCCCCAAATCCCCAATGTCCCCTCACCCCGTGTCCCAAATGTCCCCCCCGTGTCCCCTCACCCCGTGTCCCCTCTCATCCCCTCCGCGCCCCTCTCCCACAGCGGGTCCCTCCCTGTCCCCATTTCCCTCCCTGTGTCCCTCAGGCGTGTCCCGGTGTGCCCCCTGTCCCTCCTGTCACTGCTGTCCCTTCTGTCCCCCCACTGTCCCTCCTGTCCCCCCTGTCACCCTTGTCCCTGAGTGTCTGTCCCTGGCTATTCCTGTCTGTCCCATTCCTGTCCCCCCACTGTCCCCCCTGTCCCTCCTGTCCTGTCCCCCCTGTCCCTCCTGTCACCCCTGTCCCTGGGTATCTGTCCTTGGCTGTGCCCCCTGTCCCCCTGTCTCTCTTGTCCCTCCTGTCCCTCGTGTCACCCCTGTCCCCACTGTCCCTGGCTATCCCTGGCTGTCCCTCCTGTCCCCCCACTGTCCCCGGCTATCTCTCCTGCTGCCCCCGCCGTCCCTCCCCGCGGTGTCCCCACTGTCCCTCCCCGGTGTCCCCGGTGCCGTCGGTGACCGTGTCCCGCAGCCATGCCCCGCAGGAAGGCGGCGGGGCCGCCCTGGGACGCGGCGGGCGCGGGCGCTGCGGGCGGCGGGCGGCGGCGGCCCCGGCCCGGCGGCGGCGGCAGCAGCGGCGGCAGCAGCGAGGAGGAGGCGCCCCGGGAGCGGCGGCCGCGGGCCGGGAGCCCCGGGAGCCGCAGGCCCGGCAGGCCCGGAGCGGCGGCGGCGGCGGCGGCGGCGGCGGCGGGGCCCGGAGGCGGCGGAGCCCGAGGGCAGAGCGCGGTGATCTGCGAGCCCGAGCACAGCAAGGAGCGCATCGTGAGAGCTGGGAGGGCACCCCGGGAACCGCCTGAGTGTGCCCCGAGTGTGCCCCGAGTGTGCCCCATTGCACGTCCCCACTGAGCTCTGAGCGTGCCCCGAGTGATCCCCGAGTGTGCCCCATTGCACATCCCCACTGAGCTCTGAGCGTGCCCCGAGTGTGCCCCGAGTGATCCCCGAGTGTGCCCCGAGTGCCCCCCGAGTGCCCCCCGAGTGTGCCCCATTGCACACTGAGCTCTGAGTGTGCCCCACAAGTGTGCCCCGAGTGTGCCCTGTTGTCCATAATGCCCCGAGTGTGCCCCTGCACCCGCCGTGCCCTGAGTGTCCCTGGGTGTCCCCTGAGTGTCCCCTGGCTGTCCCCTCTGTCCCCAAGTGTCCCCAGGTGTCCCCGTGTCCCTGGGTGTCCCCTGAGTGTCCCCATGTCCCCAAGTGTCCCTGAGTGTCCCTGGGTGTCCCCAAGTGTCCCTGGCAGTCCCTGAGTGTCCCTGGGTGTCCCCTGAGCGTCCCTTGGGTGTCCCCAAATGTCCCTGGGTGTCCCTGTTCGTCTGAGTGTCCATGGGTGTCCCCATGTCCCTGAATGTCCCCAAGTGTTCCCAAGTGTCCCCAAGTGTCCCCTGGCTGTCCCTGAGTGTCCCCAAGTGTCCCCTGAGTGTCCCCTGAGTGTCCCCGAGTGTCCCTGAGTGTCCCCATGTCCCTGAGTGTCCCCGAGGTTCCCTGAGTGTCCCCTGAGTGTCCCCAAGTGTCCCTGGCTGTCCCTGAGTGTCCCTGAGTGTCCCTGAGTGTCCCTGAGTGTCCCTGAGTGTCCCCTGGCTGTCCCCGCGTCCCCGAGTGTCCCCTGAGTGTCCCCAAGTGTCCCCTGGCTGTCCCTGAGTGTCCCCTGGCTGTCCCTGAGTGTCCCCTGGGTCCCACAGAAGCTCGAGGGCTCCAAGAGTCGGGGGCAGCTCCTGATCTTCGGTGCCACCAACTGGGACCTGATCGGCCGCAAGGAGGTGCCCAAGCAGCAGGGTAGGCGTTAATTTGGGTTAATTGGTCATTAATGAGCCCCCGGGGCGGCCACGGGGCTCCTCAGTGGATGGGTGTTCATTAATTAGTAATTAATGAACGCCTCGGGGCAGGGGAGGGGCTGGTTAATGGCTGGGATTAATTGATATTAATTAGTAATCGATGAATGCATTGGGGCAGGGTAAAGGTTCGTTGATGGCTGGGATTAATTGATATTAATTAGTAATCAATGAATGCATTGGGGCAGAGTAAGGGCTTATTAATGGCTGATTAATTATCTGTTATTAATTAATGAATGGTTTGGGGCACGGTAGGGCCTTGTTAACAGATGATCAATTAATTTGTATTAATTAGTAATCAGCGAATGTAGCGGGGCAGGGGCTCCTTAATTGCTGGGATTAATTGGTATTTGAGGTCAATTAGATAATTTCCTGGATTTTCCTGGACGATTTTTTTCGACAATTTTCTGGGATTTTCCCGGATTTCCTGGGCGATTTTCCTGGGTTTCCCGGGGCTGTTTTCCTGGATTTCCTGGGGCTGTTTTCCCGGATTTCCTGGGCGATTTTCCCGGATTTTCCCAGGGCTGTTTTCCCGGATTTCCTGGGCGATTTTCCCGGATTTTCCCAGGGCTGTTTTCCCGGATTTCCTGGGCGATTTTCCCGGGGTTCCCGGGGCTGTTTTCCTGGATTTCCTGGGGCTGTTTTCCCGGATTTCCTGGGCGATTTTCCTGGGTTTCCCGGGGCTGTTTTCCTGGATTTCCTGGGCGATTTTCCCGGATTTTCCCAGGGCTGTTTTCCCGGATTTCCTGGGGCTGTTTTCCCAGATTGCCTGGGCAATTTCCCCGGGTTTCCTGGGGCTGTTTTCCCGGATTTCCTTGACAATTTTCCCGGACGATTTTCCTGGGTTTCCCGGGGCCGTTTCCCGCTGTGACGGCCGCATTCCCGCTTTTCCAGCGGCGTACCGGAACCTGGGTCAGAACCTGTGGGGGCCGCACCGCTACGGCAGCCTGGGCACGCTGCGGGTGCGCTCGGTGGTGTCGGGGCCCTGCGCCGCGCACAGCCTGCTCATCACCGCCGAGGGCCGCCTCTGGAGCTGGGGTGAGCCGGGAACGCGGGATGGAGTGTGGAATCCTCCCTGGGAACGTGGGATGGAGCGCAGAATCCTCCCTGGGAATGTGGGATGGAGCGCGGAAACCTCCCTGGGAATGCGGGATGGAGTGTGGAGACCTCATGGGAATGTGGGATAGAGCATGGAATCCTCCCTGGGAATGCGGGATGGAGCGCGGAGACCTCATGGGAATGAGGGATGGAGTGCGGAATCCTCCCTGGGAAGGATGGAGCGTGGAATCCTCCCTGGGAATGCGGGATGGAGTGTGGAATCCTCCCTGGGAACGCGGGATGGAGTGTGGAATCCTCCCTGGGAATGCGGGATGGAGCGCGGAATCCTCCCTGGGAACGCGGGATGGAGCGCGGAGACCTCATGGGAATGTGGGATAGAGTGTGGAGACCTCATGGGAATGCGGGATGGAGCATGGAATCCTCCCTGGGAATGAGGGATGGAGCGTGGAATCCTCCCTGGGAATGCGGGATGGAGCACGGAGACCTCATGGGAATGTGGGATAGAGTGTGGAATCCTCCCTGGGAATGTGGGAATACGGGAATGTGGGATCCCAGAGACCTCTCTGGGAATGCGGGATTGATCCCAGAGACCTGCCCTGGGAATGAGGGATGGAGCACGGAGACCTCTCCGGGAATGAGGGATGGAGTGCAGAGACTGCCCTGGGAATGCGGGAATACGGGAATGTGGGATCCCAGAGATCTCCCTGGGAATGAGGGAACAGGGGAAAACGGGATTCTAGAAAGCTCCCCAGGAACGCGGGATTGATCCCATGAACCTCCCCTGGGAATCTGGGATGCCGGAAACCTCCCTGGGAACGCGGGATTCAGCCCATAAACTTCCCCTGGGAATGTGGGATTCCTGAGGGAGCTGGGAAGGGGCCGGAGAATTCCCAAGGGAGCTGGGAAGGGCTCATCCTGGAGGGAAAAGGGATTGGGGTCCCCGTAATCGGGATTCATTCCCAGGGATGAGCGGGAACGCCCTCCGGGGAAATTCGGGAGTAGGGAAGGAGCAGCCAGGGGCGGGGCTGGGAGCCGCATCCCAGGTTTTCCCATGGGAATGTGGGATTTTCCCGCAGGCCGGAACGAGAAGGGGCAGCTGGGCCACGGCGACACCAAACGCGTGGAGGCGCCGCGGCCGATCGAGGCCCTGGGCAGCGAGGCCATCGTGGCGGCCGCCTGCGGCCGGAATCACACCCTGGCACTGACCGGTACGGCCCGGG